ATAGCCAAAGGATGCCCTTGAACTTCTGATTTACCTGCCTTCAACCTCCTGAGAGTATTGGGAGACAGGTGTGTGTCACTATGCCTCTATCCCCCATTTATATGGTCCTAGGGCTTGAACCCAGGGTTTCTTGCGTGCTAAGCAAGCACTCTACCAACTGAACTACATTCCCAGTTCCTGGAAATTTTTTTGAATAAATTCTTTCAATTTTTTAAGTTTTTTGTGTATGAGTGTTTTGTCTGCATGAATGTAAATGCACCCATGATGTGCAGTGCCCACGAAGACCAGAAGAGAGGCATCAGATCCTCTGGGACTGGAGTTAAAGATGGTTGTTAGCTGCCATGTGAGTGTTGAGAACTAAACCTGGGTCTTCTGAAAGAGCAGCAGTGCTCTTACTGCTGAATCATGTCTCCAACCCCCTGGAAATTTTCTGAAAGCAAAAAGGACAAAAGACAAATATCTACATCCAAGCATGGTGCTGCAACCCTGTCACCCTGCATCTGAGACACTGAGGCAGGAAGATGACATTCATGGTAACGCAAACGACATAGTGAGACCCTCTAAGAAACAAACATCTATAGAAAGCTGAGTAACATTTATTGTAGTTCAACCGAATTCCTTTTGTAGTAGATTATAACAGTTTTATGTAACTCTACAACTACCTTTAACAGGCATTGTATATACTTTATGAAAAATTACGCCACCAATAAAGCTGTTTTAGAAAACAGCCCAGCTTCCTCAGGCTTCGGATGGGAATTGTGAGTATGCATTCTGCACTCCCTCAGGGTCCTTGAAGACTCCCTTCCAGGAGAGGCAGCTGGCTTCACATATCCTGCTGGTTGCCTTCCCTTCCCAATACACTGCTTGTACCAGCAGCCTCAGCTTGAAGTATGTTTCTGAAAGAACCCAAATCAAGGGTAGGATAAGATTTTGTGTTCTTCTGAGATGTTTTTAAAGAGGAGGTGATAGAAGTTGGTGCCCCAGATCAGGCTGTTCATGTCAAGTCAGTAAAATGGTTTAGCTTAGCAAGACAGTTTCAGGGAGGGCTGGGGAAGAGCGGGAAGGTGGGTATTAGCTGACAGCTTGGGAAAGAAGTAAAGTCACGGGGTGGGTGTGTCTGGGCCTTTGCCAGACTAGACGCCTAGGATATAAGGTCTCCGGGTGACTTACTGCTGGGTGAGACAGCAGACAGGGAGTCACAGGTGCCTTCGTTCACTTTGGATTATAATGATCAAAATCTAGTTGGAACTGCCAAAGTTCAAAAGGGCAAAAATCCATAAACACAGATCGAAGTGAGAGAAACAGAAAGTATAAGCATACGCCAGACACAATCCCAGCATAGACGTGGGGAAATGGGTAAGAAACACCAAAACTACCTGAGGAACAGTTGGCAACTGATGGCTGTTGGGAGGGGGGAGATTCAAGGGTGTGATTCCTGGTAGGTTAATGAGGCTCCAGTAGGATGAGCAGACACGAATTTGATTCTAGAAGTCTTTATATATGTGAGATATAGATATATATCTATATAGAGATATATATAATCTCATATATATATATATACATATAGAATACATGAAATTGGGCAGAGGGTAGTAGAGAGGCTGCATATGGGGGAATGCAATCTTAATTCTATCAAAATATATTGTATGAAATTTGCAAAAATTCAATTAAAAGGTGTATTTATCTTTATTTTACGTGTATGAGTGTTATGCTTGTATGTGTGTATGTGCACCTGTGTCGTGAAATACCCGTGGAGAAGAGGACTGGAACTGGAGTTATGGACAATTGTTAGCTGCCATGCGGGTGCTGGCATGCGAACCTGGGTCTTCTGCAAGGACAGCCAGTGCTCTTAACCACTGAGCCATCTCTCCAGCCCCAATTAAAAGGTTTTTTAAAAGACTTTTTCTTTACCTATGTGTGTGCCTGTGTGTTCATGTGCACCACATGTGTGCAACTGCTTGCAGAGACAGAAGGTGGTAGATCTCCTGAAACTGGAGCTGCCTCACATGTGTGCTGGGAACTTGTTTCAGTAAATTTTCCCCTCCCCCTTCTTGGGAGACTCATGTCCACACCCTCTGATGCCCCAGGGCTGACAAACTGACATAAGGCATCCTATTTGGATTTTGCATAGTTTATATGACATTTGGGAGGGGTGACTTACGAAAACACGGATTCTTATAGGCTTTTCCTTTTCCGTATTTGAAATACACGTGCCATCCATCTCTGCCCCCGTCTTCTGTCACTGGTCCGTGTCCAGTATGGCTACAGCTCCACCCCTTTTTCCCACTGTACTCTGTGTCACCCACGTTCCTCCTGGATCAGCTCCAGGTTATCTGAGGAGCCTTCGGTTACAGAACTGAACTCAGGTCTGCTGCAAGAGAGCAAATGTTTTTAGCCACTGAGCCATGTCTCTAGTCCCCTCATCCAGGACATGTATTATATTCTAGGTTGACCTCAATCCTCCTGTCTCCAGTCTTCCCTCCTGGTTTATGCAGTGTCAAGGATTGTATATACTAGCTACAATTGTATATACTAACCACATTCCCCAGTCCAAAGACCTTTTATTATCTTAAAAAAAAAAAAACCTGTATTTTAAATATTTTATTTTTCTTTTATGTCTATGAGTGTATTGCCTACAAGCATGTAAGTGCACCCACATCGTGCAATGCCCACAGAGGCCAGAAGAGGGCATCAGATCCCCTGGAACTGGTGTTACAGATGGTTGTTAGCCACCATGTGGGTGCTGGGAATCAAACCTGGTCCTCTGCAAGAGCAGCCAGTGCTCTTAACCACTGAGCTATCTCTACTGCCTCCTGATCTTTTGATACAAAGTCTTGCTATGCAGCCCAGGTTAGCTCTAAACATACTATCCTCTTGCCTCGGTGTCCCAAGTGTGCCATCACACCAGTTTATGCAGTACTAGGGCTCAAACTCAAGGACTCTTGCATCCTAGGAAACTATCAATTGACCTACATCCCCAAGCCCTTGTCCCTTTTTTTAAAAATTTACTTCAGTTTACAAAAAATCCAAACCCTGACAATATTAATTCGACTTTTTGGACCTTCAAGATCAAAATCAAAATGACTTGGAAGTACATACCAAAAAAACAAACAAATGAACAACAAAACCCACTCTTTCTACCAAGGCCTTAACCAGGGAGGAGTCCAAAAGAACAAATTACTCTAGTGGTACTTAAACCATGCGATGGAGGATCAGGTGAGAATCCATTTGTGGGCACCATGGCTTAGGATCAGTCAGAGCCAGTGTTAAGTCAAAGATGTGTGAAGCTCCAAAATCTAGAATCCCTTGCTGCAAAACCCACAAGGTCAACCGCACAGTCCGAAATCACCAAGACTGTGGTGTGTGCAGCCACTGGACGAGGACTGTCAAAGACATCTTGTACAGTGTCGCTGGTATAAGGATTTACTTTTAAACATAACACATTTGTTAATAGTTCCCCGCAAGCCTGTCGTATCACTTTCTCTGCGGGAAACCTAAAACCCCAGGGAGGAGAGGCCACCTCAGACTGCATGGTCAAGGACATATGTAAACTGTGAAACTGTCCACATATAGTTCTGAGTTTCTTTTCCATTGACAGGGTCAGGTAGGCCTCAAACTTGCTACACAGATGAGGATGACCTTGAACTTCTGATTCTCTTGCCCCCGTCTCCCAAGCTGGGATTATAGGCAGGTGTCACCATATCTAGCTCCTTTTAGGCCGTATTGTTCTCTAAGCCCAACAGAGTAATGTGTCCCTTTGGGAGACGTGCTAGCTACTGGCATGCAGAGGCAGACACAGGCCCTGTGAAGCCTCAGGCTTTCCACCGTCTCAGTCCTTAGGCTGATCCACATCAAGTCTTTGTGGATTTGTATTTGTTCATCAACGGCCTCCACCAGGAGAGGACAGTTTGGGAAATCGTTTTACAATACCAGTCCTGCTTTGAAATTTTTATTTATTATTTATGTATTTATTTATGTTTGTATTTATTTATTGTGTGCACATACGTATGCCACAGTGCAGAGGACAACTTGTGGGAGTTAGGTCTCCCTTTCTACTATGTGGGATCTGGGGATCGAACTCAGTCAGGCTTGGCGGCAAGTGCCCTTACCACTGATGGCTTCCTTCTGCTTTTCTGAGCTCATCAAATGTCTACTTGGTTTTAATAAATTAATTAGTATATATGTGTGTTCATGATATATGTGGGCACATGCACCACAACCTATGTGTGGAGGTCAGGGAACAACTTTGTGAAGTTCTCTCCTCTGGGGACTGAACTTGGGTCACCAGGCTTGGGCAGCAAGTGCTTTTACATGTTGAGCCATTTTGGTTGCCCAAATGGCTGCTTGTTTTTAACTGAACATTAACAATTTCTTCTATACATGAGTATATGACAAAACAAAAAAAACAAAACAAAACAAAACAAAAAACTTGAGGCCTAGAGAGATGGTTCAGCAGTTAAAGAGCACTGACTGTTCTTTCAGAGGACCTGGGTTCAGTTCCCAGCTCCCATAGGGAGGCTAACAGCAAGCTCTCCGTAACTCCAGATCTAGATCTGATGCCCTCTTCCGGCCTCTGCATGTTTGCAGGCATATGGTGCACTTACATACATGCAAGCAAAACATTCATACACATAAAAATAAAAAAATCAAAAAAACTTTAATTAAAAAAAAATCTTGAGTGCTCAACACTCCCTCCACATTTTATCAATGTGGCTACAAAACCCTAAATAGCTTAGAATGACACACTGTATGATAATGTACTTTTCCCTAGATTCTTTATACTAGCTGAAAACAGAAGCAAATGAATATTCACACTTGTCTTTAAGTACTCCAGCTGGAAGCACTTTTGAGACTAGATCTACCCACAGAGACAGAAGAATCTGCAGTTCAAAATAATAGTCACTTATAATGGTTTCTGGAAAAAATGGCCTCTTGGGAAAATGTACTCAAACACACACACAACAAAAGAGAGAAAGATTGCTACATATTGCACATGACAATTAAAAAATACAGTCACTTTATTTTCACTTTCTTTTCCCCAGTGTAGCATCTGATAAGAATCCTCATCTCTGAAAACACAAAAATATTTAAGAAAGCATGTTACAAGATAGGTATAAGCAATAATTTGGCAGAATTTTATCAAATCTAGCAGTTCCTACCCCCAAAAACCAAATTTTAAAATTCAAAAATAACAGTTAGCTTTATTTAACATATGTTACAGCTTAACATTTAAAATATCATGCTCTAGTTAAATATTTTATCAACAACACTGTATACAAATAAAATATTACACAAAATATATTTAAGAAAATGTTTTGGTCTTTGATCTGAACAATAAATAAACACAGGCACTTCTAGACTGAGACAGGGCAGCACTGCTACTCAGAATACCTTCCTCTAAGCAGTATGGGGAGATATGGCAAGAATAGAATCCTGGAGTTTGAAACTGACAAACCACTTGAGAAGGTCTGCAAATTCCACCTTTTCAGTTCAAGTTCAAAAGTCACACCTGCTTTCAAGGCTCACGTTGAACATTCATAAACCCATATGGCTGTCAGCCCACTCACTCTGCAGTTGGCCATGAGGGAATCATACTCATGATTTTCAAAATACTAAAATTAGGCAACTACCATACCACCCAGCAAACCAAATGCAAGAAATAACAAATCCTCTTTGTCCTTACGGTGGCCACAGGACCAAAACCAGATAAACTAGAGGTGTCACGGTCATTTTCGGTTTTGAAAATTAACTGATTATATTAACACAAGAATACTGTTGGGGTGTTGGGAAATCTGACATTGGTCCATTTTCCAGACAATTAAAAAAATCTATCCAAATCTCAGAAAAATAAATGTTAATTCCATTTCACAAAAACCAGAGTCATGTACAACAAAATCTTGGTTATAGGTTTATAAACACCTGATATCGGTCATAATGGGAACAAGAGTATTACCATATAGAAAAACAAAACAAAAAGAACTTAATGGGAAACAAATTAGAAAATAATGGCCAGCAGCCAGTGGGTAGGACCAGAGCCAATCTCCCTGCCAGGCCCTCGTGAATTACTTTGTTTCCCTGTCCACAAAGGTATGGAATTGAGAGCTTGGAGACCATTTGGGAACAGATGCTACTTATGAAGGCAGTTCTGAGGATTTAACAAGAAATCACTCTAATGTGAAAGCACAACATGGGAACTAGTCAAGATAGGCCTTTCTATGTGAAATTTAGCTTCTATGCATTTTAGCATTTTAAATGAGCACTTTGCAGCCGAGACCAAATATCAATCATCTCTTGAGGCTTTCTGCTATGTACTAACATGAGATCTACATAAGAACAAATATTATTCTTATTTTTCTCCTCAATATCAAATGTCCTGAAGCCTTTGTGTTTCTCTGGAACGAGGCCAAGTTTCTGAAGGCACATTCCAGTATAAACATCATCGATGGGGTAGAGATGGACCCGGTCAGTTATATTGTGCAGTCTCAGGGCCAGGTGGCCAGAGTACAGGAATCCACCTCCCCCCGCATACGGTGGGTAGACCCCGGAGTAGAAGACCTCTGGAATGTAGTACTTCAGTTTCTTCTCCCGATGAGGCCCAGCATTGTGGATCACATCACCTATAAACAAATCTTTGGCTTTGTTCTTGGGTAAGCTATTCAAGTAATTCAGGATGTGATGAGTATTCACAAAAACATCATCATCGCCCTTGAAGACAAACTCAGTGTCTGGGCAGGAAGTGCTCACCCATCTGAGAAACAGCACTTCCTTCAGAGACAAGTTGAAGAACGTGTCTCTGTAGTTCCACATGAGGATGTCCTGATGCTTCTCACTCTCGAACTTCAGCATGTCTGAAAGGTCGGGGTGGTTGTCTTCTGGAGGCGTCTGGCCCAGCAAGAAGACTCGCACTACGGTCTGGTTCCCCACGTTGGTTTCTCTGCCCCAAGATTCCCGAATTGCTTGTCTTCTGGCAAAATGTGGAGTGAGAGACTTAATCGCCAGCAGTAAGAAGGGTTTCTTTGCACATTTCTTCGGCTGATCTATGAGCAGTGAGTAATTTCGGCATCTCAAATACAAGAGAAAGTCTTTAAATCTGTCTGGCAAATTATTAAAATCTGTCACAGCTGACGTGACCCTTAGGTCGGGTTCACAATGGTTCAGATGGCTTGTGTTTGCAGAGCCGTACGCATCCCCTGTCTGGTTGGCCAACATGTTCAGGATGGGGTTGTACCTCTTGTTGAGATTTTCTTGTTCTCTGTTCCAGAAGGCCCGGGGAGGGCTGGATATCTTCCAGAACCTTTCTTTGGGTATTATTACTTCCCCTTTTCCATTTTTTTCTTGGTTACTGCTTTTGGAGACTTCCACAATCAAATAGATGAAGACATTTGCCATCATTAAGATGCCCAACAGCTTTATTCTTCGACGCCCAACACTCATTTCTCATACCTGGAATAAAAGCAAAATATATCAGTTAGCTATGAATTTGTTTTCCATGGACATTTTATGTCATTTTACTTGCTTTTAAAGTTTTTTTCCCATGAAGAAAATTTTAGGGTAAGGACTGTAAACTTACCCACTCTGATTCAAATTAAATCTCTAGCTTTAGAGATGATGCCTCGTTTTCTCTGTCTATAAAGGGGTGGTAATAACCCACTTCATGGGATGGTTGTAACAAGTATGTGATTTTGTATAGTTTTTGAAATCATGTGTGGCCCATGGCAAACATTATGTAAGTAATGGTTAACACCAATGCTGTTTCAACACCTTCGGGGCAGAGGTAAGATTACTAAATAACCTCATGGTTGTTCAACTACTTTGCTTAAAAGGGTACATACAAATCAGTGCTTTGCAAACTGACTTGCCTACCATTCATAATAACAAATGTTTCTTATACTGTGATCCAATACACACAACATGCACACATTACTATTTACATTATGTTCAGTGCCATGTCACTCTTGAATTTCTATTATATGTCATTTAAAAAAAAATGCTGGTCCAACCCTGAATTATTTACCAACTCACTATTTTCTAGATAAGGAAACTGAACCAGAGAGATTGAGATGCTTGCTCAGGGTTGCAGGGCTCAGAACCGGAGGAGGTGGTTAGTACCACACTGCAAGTGCAGAGAAAATGACTCATAATAGCTTTAGCCCAATAACCCAAAACTGAGAATAACCCAGATACCATCAACAGGAGACTATGTCAGATGTGGTAAGTTTATACAATGAGATACTCACAATGAAACAGGAACAACTGTCACCAGCAACCTTTATTGTCACCATTATACTGGAGTAATAACCAGACACAAAATATCATTTAATGTTTTTTTAAAAAATATTTTATTTATTATTTTTATTTTATGTGTATGCGTGCACTGCCTGCTTGTAGGTAAGTGTACCCGTGTTGTGCAATGCCCACAGAGGGCAGAAGAGGGCAGAGATCCCCTGGGACTGGAGTAAGGGACAGTAGTTAGTGGTCATGTGGGTGCTGGGATTCGAACCCGGGTCTTCTGTAAGAACAACCAGTGTTCTTAACCACTGAGCCATTTCTCCAGCCCTGTTTTTTTGTTTTTTGTTTTCCAGTACTGGGGCTTAAACTTAGGAATTTGAGCACGCTAAGTGCTCTGCCATTGAAGAGAAAAAAATGTTTGCTGGGAACACCTCCAAGAAGCTAACATGGATGGTGTGCACCAGCACAGCTGTTTAGACAATCCTGGCATTAAAAGATAACCCCAAAAGTAGAATAGTAAAATCTATAAAGAACTACAAGAGGAGCTGGAGATGTGGTTCGGTAGCAGAGCACTTGGGTATAATGTACAAAGTCCTAGGTTCAACCCCAGTACTGTTTAAAAAAAAAAACAAAACAAAAAAGAAACTAATAATAGTAAAATCCACACTTCATTTGAGCTGCGTGTGTGGTGGTATACTCTATAATCCCATCACTTGGGCGATGGAGGCAAGAGGATCCGTTCAAGGTTGTGTTCTGCTACATAGCCAGTTTGAAGCCAAGCCTGGAATCCATGAGCTGTTCTCAAAAAGAGCTACTTGATAAGGAAGGGTCTGTACTGCAGCTCAGTGATGGAGCGTGTTCAAGGCCCTGGGTTCTACTGCCTCCTAACCAGGCCCCAGGGGTGGGGGATAAGGCAAAACATACAACGTTATCAGTCAATTTTCCTTTATTCCCACTTTATCCCCAAGGAAGAGCATGTAAGGGAGTGTTGAGATCCCAGTCTACGCCATGGGATTCCAATGGTGGCCACTCCTCTCCAACTTGTCAAAGTTCTCTGTTGTTTTAATCAGTAGTAGTATTTGCTTTTTAAAAATAGAAGTGGAGGGCCAGTAAGATAGATCAGTGGAGAAAGATGTTTGTGAATTTTCTTAGGTTCATTGGGTTCTAACAAATAGTCTCAAGGTGAAAGAGTATTTGTCATGCTGAGGATGCTGTGAAATTATTACATCTTGGACAGCTCATATCATTTCAAAGGGAATTCACAGCTGTTCTGTGTCTCTTCACACATATGTAGTAGATTTTAACCCAGGGGCCCATACTGATCACAGCTTCAGCTATCAAAATGCAGTCAGCCCAACAACAGCTAAGCCTTTCAAAACTGTAGATCAAAAATATAGAAAAACTAATTGGGCCTATGCCGAACACTGCAGACTAAACCATGCAGTTTAACCACTCTTTCCATAGTGTTTACATTGTAGTAGGTATTACAAATAATCCAGATTACCTAGCATGCTGGTGTACACCTATAGTCCTAGCCTCAGGAGGCAAAGGCAGGAAAAGAGGAATTCAAGGTCAACCTTGGCTACATTGTGAGTTCAAGGTCAGTCTGGGTAAAATGAGGCTGTCTCCAAAAACAAAATCCAGGCATGGTAGCCCATGCAATTAATCCCCAGCACTCTGTGAAACGGAGCCCAGCCTGGTCTACATTGCAAGTTCCAGGGCAGCTGGGGTCTAGCCTCAGGAGGCAAAGGCAGGAAAAGAGGAATTCAAGGTCAACCTTGGCTACATTGTGAGTTCAAGGTCAGTCTGGGTAAAATGAGGCTGTCTCCAAAAACAAAATCCAGGCATGGTAGCCCATGCAATTAATCCCCAGCACTCTGTGAAACGGAGCCCAGCCTGGTCTACATTGCAAGTTCCAGGGCAGCTGGGGTTATAGGGAGACCTTATCTCAAAAAAAAAAAAAAAAAAAAAAAAACCAAAAAATTTTTAAAAAACC